ATAAGGAGGTGATATCTGATAAGACTGTTTGTGTTTGTGTGAGCAGATCGATGACGACAGCATACTTCAGTCACAGAGGACGCTACGACAAGAAGGTAAGAAAACATGAACCCACGTCTCAAACATATGAGGTCACACTTACAGAAAACTACAGACAAGATGGCGTCTCGCTGTTTTCAGCCCGTCATCTTAAAGGAGCTGATGCTCACGGACGGAGACTTCACCGAGGAGCAGAGGATCGAGCTCAAACACGGTGAGAATCAATAAACAGGAACAGACGTTTAGGGTTTAAACATGGTCACATGATGCACGCCCTCACCTCCACGTCTGTTTCAGCTGCTGCGGATCGATTATTACAACCTGACCAAGTTCTACGGCACAGTGAGGTTTGAGTACGGAGTGTTTGGAGTGTTTGAGCTCTGCCAGAGGGATCCCTCAGGGTAGGAACAGGACACACACACACACACACACACACACACACACACACACACACACACACCACACACACACACACACACACACACACACAACACACACACACACACACACACACACACACACACACACACACACACACACACACACACACACACACACACACACACAACTTGTTGTTAATGGCTGAGCTCAGTGACCTCCTTCTCTGCTGCTCAGAATGACTGTACTGTTCCTGTGACGGGTTAAAGATCACTAATAATGACTGTGCACTGATTTAATAACACACAGATTAGATTAGAGAATATTAACTCCTCTGTGTTGTTTGTTTCAGTACATTCTGAACGACAGGATCTCTTATCCCGACGAGACCTTCATGGACATGGAGTTTAGAATCTCCGTCATGTACGACATCGCAAAGGTACCTGTAACCAACGGTTACCCTTCATTTATTATTCATAAATACAGATTAAAGGAGCGGTATGTAACTCTGACACCTGGTGTTTAAAATGGGTTCTGCAGTCCAAATTCAAAACTGAACTAAAGCTAAACTCTGAAGCTTCAGTGTTTATCCAGCTCTGCATGGGTCTGTAAACCTTTCTGCGTTCTAACCTCTCTCCATTTTTCAAAAGCATCTCCAATATTGATCCGGGTGCAGAATAATGATCATACGGTCTGATTGATTAAAGAATAGTGATAAAACAAACCCTGTGGTGGACTAACCCTCCTGCTGTGTTTCCTCCTCAGGGCATGTCCTACCTCCACTCCAGTAACATCAACATGCACGGACGCCTCAAGTCCACCAACTGTGTGGTCGATAATCGGATGGTGGTGAAGATCACCGACTTCGGATGTCACACCATCCTGAGGCCGGGCAGAGGTTAGAATCCCTCACCGACACCGTTTGAGTCAAGAAGTGGAGAGGCATGATAGAAAGAAAATATGTGATGTGAAGTCTCCTCTCCTCCTTTCTGTGTCCTATCCCCCCCCTACTACTGTCCCTGACTCTCTCCTCTCTCCTCTCTCCTCTCCTCTCCGTTTTCCGTTTCCGTTTCCGGTTTCCGGTTTCCGGTGAGTGTGAGTGTGAGTGTGAGTGACGGTGGTGGTGTTGCGAGTGGCGCGGAGATTGAATTGTTTGCTATCCTTTCTACTGTTTTCAAAGTGCATGATCAGGTCAGTTTGTTTTCATATTTGTATTGAGTGTTGTTGGCTGTGTAAGACAGATCGTTGGAGGGGTTGGAGGGAGGAATGGCGTCTGCTGAGACGCCACCTCCGACTCTCCGACAGGGAGTTCGGATAGTCCCTCCGAACGGTACTGTCACCGTGGAGGAGGTTCTGTTAGCTGCAGGTGAACAGGTAGGCCATGAGAAACTTTTGTATGCATCCCGAATGAACAAGGCTGTGGTTGTTTTTCTGAAGAGTGAGCCTCTTGTGTATCAGCTGATTGAGAGTGGTGTGTTCATTAGGGATTTGTTTGTGCAGGTTTCCCCGTTGTCGGTTCCCTCTACGCGGATCACCGTATCCGGTGTTCCGCCGTTTATTTCTAACGACTTGTTAGAGAACGAACTCCGCAGGTTTGGGAAGTTTGCGAGTGGTTTCAAAACTGTGAGTCTAGGGTGTAAAGATCCCAAACTGAAACATGTTCAATCTTTGCGGCGTCAGGTGTTCATGTTTTTGGATTCGCCCACACAGACTCTGGAGGTTTCCTTTAGAGTGAAACACGGTGACGCTTCTTATATGGTGTATGCGAGCTCGGGACAACTGAAGTGTTTTGAGTGTGGTGATGTGGGGACACAAACGTTTTGCGTGTCCGCACAGACAGCAGGAGGCGGCTAGTGCTGCCGCTGACGCGGGCGGCTCTGTTAGTGTGGCGCATGTGGCGGGGGCCGCGTCCGGGGCGGGGGCCGCGTCCGCGTCCGTGCCCGGGGCGGAGGCCGCGTCCGCGCCCGTGCCTGGGACGGGGGCCGCGTCCGCGTCCGTGCCTGGGACGGGGGCCGCGTCCACGCCCGTGCCTGGGACGGGGGCCGCGTCCGCGTCCGTGCCCGGGGCGGGGGCCGCGTCCGCGCCCGTGCCTGGGACGGGGGCCGCGTCCGCGTCTGGGGCGGAGGCCGCGTCCGCGTCCGCGCCTGGGACGGGGGCCGCGTCCGCGTCCGCGCCTGGGGCGGAGGCCGCGTCCGCGTCCTGGGGCGGAGGCCGCGTCCGCGCCTGCGCCTTGTGCTGAGGCCGTGGCTGAGGTAGAAGTGGCTTCGACCAGCTCTCAGGCTACAGAAAAATCACAGACTGTAGATAATGTGAAGATTCCACAAGTTCTGCAGTTGTAGATGTTTCATTGAAGGAAGGTAAGACAGTGTGTTGTAGCCAGGCATCATGTGAAGGAGAGGACATGGATGAAGATTATGAGTCAGACAATGCATCCATTGCTGATTTGCCAAATAGTGGCTCTGGTCTTTATTCTTTAGAGTCAATCAATCAATTTATGGATGAAACGTACAACAAATCAGTAAAAATCAGTGACTACTTTAGTGATACTGAAAAGTTCATAAAGTCAGTCAGCATACTGAAAAGACAGGTTGGGTTTGACCTCCTGGACGCGAAAAAACGGTTCCGTCTTAAAAAGCACATCACCGCACTGAGGAAAGTTGGACGTAAGAGTGTGAAGAAGACAAAGAAATGATCATGCATCACAAGGTGTTATTCTTCTTCTACTGTTCCCTGTTTGTGTCTACTTATCTGTTCTTTCTCTCTGATCTTTCTATGAGGAGTCTTAAGATAGGATCTCTTAACATTAATGGTGGGAGAGACAGACAGAAAAGGGGCCTTATCTCTGAGATCTCAACTCAGAAAAACATTGATATCTTGTTTTTACAAGAGACTCATACCACACCATCAGATGAGACAGATTGGGGTTTATGGTGGGAGGGCTCTAACTACCTTAGCCATGGCACCAACCTTAGTGCAGGAGTAGCCATTTTGTTTAGAGCATCTGCAAATGTAAAGATCGTCTCTTGTGCTGAAATTGTAAAGGGAAGGCTTTTAATTGTAAGAGCAGAAATAGAGGACACTGTTTTCTGCTTCACTAATATTTATGCTCCAAATAATGGAGCTGAAAGGGTAGCTTTCTATACCCGCCTCCAAAAGGAGTTACTGATCTATAATCAGGATCAGATCATTCTTGGTGGTGATTTTAACTGCACACTTGATTTCACCGTGGATAGAATAGGAGAGGAGCCACATCCACATTCATCCCAGACTTTAAACACTGTCATCTCTCACCTGGATTTGTTGGACACATTTAGAGTGAAACATCCACAATCCAGACAGTATACATGGGTCAGGGTTAACAGTAACAGGGTGTGTGCAGCTAGACTGGACAGGGTTTACATCTCCAGAACTCTCAACCCCAGATTAATTCATTGTAATATTCTGCCTGTCGGCTTCACTGATCACCATTTTGTTAGTGTGGAGCTGATTATTTCACCAGGTGAAAGGGCTAAGTCCTTCTGGCATTTTAATAACAAGCTTCTACTGGACAATGTTTTCTGTAAAAACTTTGGGTGTTTTTGGGATCAGTGGCAATTAAGAAAAGTTGAGTTTGATTCTTTGAAGCTTTGGTGGGAGGTTGGTAAAGCTCAGATTCGTGTTTTTTGTCAGCAGTACACGTCACACTCTTCTGCTAGATTAAAAACAGTCATTAAAAATCTTGAGGACAACATTAAGAACCTTGAGGAGGGGTTAAATGGGAGTGTGGATCCCACCACTGGTACCCTGCTGAAGGAGAAACGTATGGAGTTGAGCTCTTTCCTGCAGGAGAGGGTGAAGGGAGCTCTTGTGCGGAGTCGTTTCCTTCAACTCAAAGACATGGATGCCCCAACGTCTTTCTTTTTCAATCTTGAGAGATCTGTGGCTCAAAAAAAGCTGCTGACTTGTCTGAAACTGCCAGGAGGTCGAATAACAGCTGATCCAAAGGAAATGAGCAGTCACGCCATGCAGTTCTATGAGGATCTGTTTGGAGCAGAGAGTTGCAGCCAGGAGTGTCGCAGGGAGCTCCTGGAGGGTCTCCCTCAGCTCAGTGTGGAGGAGAGGTCTCTTCTGGAAGGGGAGCTGTCTCTGGAGGAGCTCACTGCTGCTGTCACTCAGATGGCAACAGGAAGAGCACCTGGAATAGATGGGTTGTCCACAGACTTTTTTAAGAGGTTCTGGAATATTCTTGGGTCTGACCTGCATAGTGTTTTAATGGAGTGTTGCAGGACCGGGTCTCTTCCTGGTTCTTGTAAGAGAGCAGTTCTTTCCTTGCTCCCCAAGAAAGGTGACCTGGCATTGTTAAAAAACTGGAGGCCGGTTGCTTTGCTTTGTGCGGACTACAAGATCCTCTCCAGAGCTTTATCGAACAGACTAAAGGACGTTCTGGGAAGTGTGGTCCATAAAGACCAGAGTTACTGTGTTCCAGACCGGACAATCATGGATAATATTTTCTTATCAGAGATGTCATTGATGTGTGTAAAATCTATAATCTAAATGTTGGCATTGTGTCTCTGGATCAAGAGAAGGCGTTTGACAGGGTGGATCACTCGTATTTGTTTTCTGCACTGAGGTCTTTTGGTTTTGGGGATGGTTTTGTGTCATTAGTTGGTTTGTTGTATCAGGATGCACAGTGTTTGGTGAAGATGGGGCGGGTTGAGTCGGCCAATCCCTGTACGGCGAGGGATCAGACAAGGTTGTCCCATCTCCGGCCAGCTGTACAGCTTGGCTATTGAGCCCTTGCTGTGCAGGTTGAGGGACCGGCTCAGCGGGCTTTCTTTGCCCGCGGCCTGTAGCATTGAATGTCCCCTACAATTTCTGCCTATGCTGATGATGTAAACATCTTCATCTCCAATCAGGGGACGTTCGGTGTCTGCGGGACACCCTGTCCCTGTATGAAAGGGCAACAGCTGCACGGGTGAACTGGGAAAAAAGTGGTGCCTTATTGGTGGGAGAGTGGAGGGACCAGGCAGTGCCCAGTCTGCCTGGTGGACTTGAGTGGGGGAGGGAGGGGTTGAAGGTGTTGGGGGTTTATTTGGGTACCGAGGGCTTTAAAAGTAAAAACTGGGAGGGAGTTAGGGAGAAAGTGTGCGCTCGGTTGTCTAAATGGAAATGGTTGCTACCCAGTTGTCGTATAGGGGAAGAGTTCTGGTGGTCAATAACTTGGTTGCCTCGACTCTCTGGCACAGACTTGTGGCTTTTGACACCTCCAAGAGGGCTGGTGGAGGACATTCAAAGGGCCATCCTGGACTTCTTCTGGTCAGGCAAACACTGGGTCCAGGCGGCAGTCCTCTACCTGCCGGTGGCTGAAGGGGGACATGGACTTATAGACATTCAGTCAAAAATTGCCTCATTCAGACTCCAGACTGCACAGAGACTCCTTTTCACTTGTGGTCCCAGCTGGATGGACATCGCTCGACTGCTGCTGAGGAGAGCTGGACGGCTGGGGTACACTAAGCAGCTCTTTCTGTTAAAGCTTGAGGAGGTGGATCTCACTGGATTAACATCCTTTTATATGTCTGTAATGCAGGCATGGAAAATGTACACATTCAAAAGGGAAAAAACTGAGAGTCTGGGAATGTGGATCTTTGAGGAACCGTTATTTTTTAATGATTTATAAGGACTCCAACTTTGCAGTCAGCCAGTCTCCGGGCCAGTTTCAGAGAGGCAGGCTGCACAAAACTGGGTCACCTGGTAAGACTGACCCTGGACGCCCTCAAAGAAAGGACCAATATCACCTCCAGCCGGGTGGTTGAAAGAGTGGTGGAGGAAGTCTTTGCTGCACTTCCAGTAAAACTTGTGACATTTCTAAACATTGAGAATCTGTGTGAGCAGTGGAGTGAAGAGGGCGAATACAGCTTCCCATCTTTGTCTGTTACCCCAGATGTCGGGGAGTGGCAGGAAAGAGGAGGTGGACTGCTGTCCTTTAGTACTCCTGTTCTGGGAAAGTTCCAGGATGCAGGGAAAAAGGCACTCTATCAGTCCTGTGTTAAGGTCCTACATCTTCGTGGTCTGTCGGGAGTGAAAGAGTCGAGGTGGATCGAGTTTTTTGGCCCGGAGGTTTCCCCGAAAGGCAGCTGGCGGTCCCTGTACAAGCTGCCTGTTGAGAAGAGAACAGCAGATCTCCAGTGGAGGGTTGTGCATGGGGGTATAGCCACGAACAGATACAGAGCGCACATTGATCCAGGGGTGGGAGAGGAGTGTTTGTTTTGTTCACTAACTGAAACTTTGTCTCATCTGTTTGTTGAGTGTCCCAGGCTCTCACTCTTGTTTGTCCTTATGAAAAGCTTGTTTGAAGCTCTCGGGAGGATTTCTCTTATGCAGTGTTTGTTTTTGGGCCAAAGTATTCTGCAAAGAAAAAGACTGTACATACACTGATGAACTTTTTATCTGGCTCGGCTAAGTTGGCCATTTGGCTTACACGCAAGAACCGAGCTCAGGGTACTGGCTGTGTGGAACCGGTGCTGGTTCTGGAGGGACTTTTGAAGGCCAGACTAAAGGTAGAATTTGCCTATTATCAAATGATGGACAATGTGCAAGACTTTAATAGTGTATGGGCTGTGGAAGAAGCTTTGTGCTCTGTGGGTGGGGATGGAGAGCTGATTATTCATTTTTGATGCAGTAAATGTTGTTTTTGTTGATGTTGTGATTTTTGTTGCACTTGTTTTGTTTTATGTTTTATTTTTTATTTATTTATTTATTTCCTTCTCTTGATCTGAGTGATGATGTGACAGTGTTATAATTTTCTCCTGGTAGTGGTAAAATAAAAGGTATTTTGAAAACCAAACCTCTCTCCTCTCTCCTCTCTCCTCTCTCCTCTCTCTCTCTCCTCTCTCCTCTCTCCTCTCTCCTCTTTCCTCTTTCCTCTCTCCTCTCCTCTCTCCTCTCACCTCTCCTCTCCTCTCTCCTCTCTCTCTCTCCTCTCCTCTCCTCTCTCCTCTCCTCTCAGACGTGTGACAGCCCCGGAGCATCTCCGTAAAGATGGAGTGTCTCAGAAAGGAGACGTCTACAGCTACGCCATCATCGCTCATGAGATCATGATGAGACAGACTCCTTTCTACACACAGTACTGCTCGGACCCGACAGGTAAACCTGGATCACAAAGAATCTCATCACATTCTGAAGCCACAGAGTGAGAGCTCTCAAAGGAGACCCTCTTTGTCACTAAAACCTGCAGGCTCAATGTCTCAACACTCCATTTCAAAACGTTTTAAAAAGATGGTGTTGATAAGACCGGACTGTGTCGTCCAGTCTGTAAACCCTGCTCATCTTCTTCTTCCTCTTGTTGTCCCCCGACCCCTCAGTGAAGATCTACAGGGTGCAGTACCCCAGCGGGATGAACGTCTTCAGACCAGACCTGGACTTTAACGGAGCCTCAGAGAGAGAGGTCGAGGTGAGAGAGGAACCAATCAGCACTCCTGCAGACAGAGATATTAAAGTTAACCCTCGCTCTGCTCCTCTCTCTGTGTGCTCTCAGCTGTACAGTCTGATCAGAAGCAGCTGGGACGAAGACCCCGAACGGAGGCCTGACTTTAAGAAAATAGAGTTAACGCTGGGAAAGATTTTCAGGTACGCCACCGTCCCATTAAGTCTGACTCCGCCTCCTGATATTTATTGATCTAACGCGTCTCTCCTCCACAAAGTAATCTGCACAACCAGGCCACGGAGACGTACATGGACAACCTGATCCGCCGGCTGCAGATGTACTCGAGGACTTTGGAGCGTCTGGTGGAGGAGAGGACGTCTCTGTACAAAGCGGAGCGAGACCGAGCCGACCGCCTCAACTTCATGCTCCTCCCCGGGTAACGCTTTATCCTTCACGCTTTTAACGACCAGACGCCATTTATTTAGAGCTGTCAGCGTTCAACGACTTAATCACATTAATCTCATTTGTCCCTTCAGGCTCTCCGTAGATACTCGTCCTCAGTGTCTCCCTGTAGTCTCACTGCTGCATCTCTGAATGTCTCATTTCACTTTAACAAACTCTCACACAGTAATATCCACCTGATGACATCACACATTGACCTGATGACATCACACATTGACCTTATGACATCACACATTGACCTTATGACATCACACATTGACCTTATGACATCACACATTGACATCACACATTGACCTTATGACATCACGCATTGACCTTATGACATCACACATTGACCTTATGACATCACACATTGACATCACACATTGACCTTATGACATCACACATTGACATCACACATTGACCTTATGACATCACGCATTGACTTTATGACATCACACATTGACCTTATGACATCACACATTGACTTTATAACGTCACACATTGACCTTATGACATCACACATTGACTTTATGACATCACACATTGACCTTATGACATCACACATTGACCTTATGACATCACACATTGACCTTATGACATCACACATTGACCTTTGTTACCGTTCCTTTGAGCTGTTTGACCTCACTTTGGGATCCCTAACCACTTCCTGTTTCTGTGCTTAACTTCATGTCCTAACCTTCCAGCTACAGGAAGGGCTTACTGTATTTCAAAATAAAAGCACACAGCAAGTAAAGTACTCTCAGTTTAAGACAGGACAAAACATTCAAAATAAAAGCCCCCCCAAAAAACCTGTGAGATTATGGAATTTCAAACATGTAATTAAAAAATATATTTGTATTTTGTTAAATGTAACTTGATCTTATCAGAGCCATTCATGAACGTGCGTATGTCCCGTCTGTGTGCCTCCTCAGGCCTGTGGTGCGTTCACTGAAAGAGACGGGGAAAGTGAAACCAGAGCTCTTCGAGGAGGTGACCATTTACTTCAGCGACATTGTGGGTTTCACCACACTCTGTCACTACAGCACGCCCATTGAGGTGGTGAACATGCTCAACCACATCTACAAGCACTTTGACAGCATCCTCGACCACCATGACGTCTACAAGGTAGATAGACTTGAGCTTATATAACCCCCCCCCCCGTAAGAAAAAAAGCTAAACGTACACCACAAAGTCATATATCAGGGTAATACTTTGGAACTAATCAAATGCACACAAATGTAAAAAACAACAGACTGCAATCCAAATCAAAGTCATCACAAAACAATCTGTAACAAAACAGCTACCTGCTAGCATGAGCTAAAGTTAGCCTGAGGCACACATGTTCAGACAGCAGCTGACTTCATGCAGCTCGTTCAGACAGTCCTCCTGATATCCCCTCTGTTAGCTCTCTCTTTGTTAGCTCCATGAAGCTAAAACATTTTCTGCTATAAACTCTCACCATGAAGATCCATTTTACAACCAATTAAATAACATCTCAAATGTACAGCTTCCTGCTCGCCCCGTGGTCTGACCTTGTGTTTTTGACCTTGTGTCTGACCTTGTGTTTTGACCTTGTGTTGACCTTGTGTTGACCTTGTGTCTGACCTTGTGTTTGACCTTGTGTTTGACCTTGTGTTTGACCTTGTGTTTGACCTTGTGTTTGACCTTGTAATCAGAAGCATGTTTCTGATGTTTGTCTGCCAGTGTTAGCTTCTGTTTCTGTCCCAGAGAAGCTAATGGCTTCTGCTAGCTGGTGGAGCAGGAAGGGAGAGGTGAGGGAGGGAGGGGGCGGGGCCCATGTATATGGGCGGGGCACTTCAGAACAAAGGGAGGTGTGGCCAATGAGAAGTTTTGTTGGAGACTGGTGCTGAAGTGTGACATCTGCTGGACATGAGATTATAGAATAACATTAATGAATAACAACATTTAAACTGTATTAGATTTATTTTTTATATCTACTAACATGAAACATTCACTGATGTATTTGAATATTTCATTCATAATCACTTTATATTAAATGTAAGATATGTTTTGAAAAATGGAGAGAGGTTAGAACACAGAAAGGTTTACAGACCCATGCAGAGCTGGATAAACACTGAAGCTTCAGAGTCCACCACATGGTGACCTGAGTGAGCATCCACTCTAGAGAGGGGGGGGGGACAGCTCTCTATGATGTTTAGAATTTAGACCACCCACTTTAACCACTAGGGGTCAGAGTTAGCTATGGATTCTCTTAATAATAATTTAAAAAACATCTTTATGAATTCCTCTCAGGTGGAGACGATCGGTGATGCGTACATGGTTGCGTCCGGTTTACCTAAACGTAACGGTGACAGTCACGCCGTGGACATCGCCCACATGGCTCTGGACATCCTGGCTTTTGTGGGGACTTTTGAACTGCAGCACCTGCCAGGTATCCCTCTGTGGATCCGGATCGGCGTGCATTCAGGTACATGAACTTCAGTCGGCTATCAGTGTGATTTATTTAAAACACAGAGCATTGCATTCATAAATAAACAGAATCATTAAGATGTCTTTATTTGTGTGCTGTAGGTCCGTGTGCAGCAGGAGTTGTGGGGAACAAGATGCCTCGTTACTGTCTGTTTGGAGACACGGTCAACACAGCATCACGCATGGAGTCCACAGGCCTGCGTAAGCGACAACACACACACACACCATCATCATCAACATCTGGTATGGGAAAGTGTTTGAAAATGTAGACTACCTCACACACGTCTCCTTCTCCTTTCCCAGCTCTGAGGATTCACGTCAGTGGGTCGACCATCAGCATCCTGCAGAGGACAGACGGAAAGTTTGAGTATGAAAAAGAGGAGAGACGTACCTGAAGGTTAGTTCTTTCTGCTACCCTAACCCTAACTACATCAAATCTAAACCTTACAATTTTTAATGTGTGTGTGTGTGTGTGTGTGTGTGTGTGTGTGTGTGTCGCTCCCACAGGGCAAAGGCAAAGAGATAACGTACTGGTTAACAGGAGTGACAGGAGGGAATTACAACCTGCCGACACCACCGACAGCGTGAGTGAAACCCGGTCTGAACACTCTGCTCATGTCCTCTCCGATCCAGCTTTATTTAAAGCGCTCATTTTAAAAACAGCAGTTTTTACTAAAGGGCTTTACAGTCCACAAAACAGCGGTCGCTCATCAATAACAAATAATGATGATGAGAAAAAGAGTAAAAAATCATATAAAGCAGATAAAAGAATTAATGACAAAAGGAACGAGAATACATCGGTCGCATTCAGAGTTAAAACCAAGGTGTAAAAATTAGGACAAGAGTTAAGAACCGGCAGTGTGGGGGCTCGTTAAAAGACGGGCATCAGTGTTTGGACCAACTGAAGTGGAGAAAGGGACGCCTGACTTTGGGAGTCATCTGCGTAAAAGTGGAATGAGAGGTCGGCCATGTTTTTCACAAATCAATCCCATGGGAAGTAGGTAGAGGGAAAAGAGCATCGGGCCAAGGATTGAACCCTGGGGTACTCCACATGGGATGGGAGAGTTGTGGAGGAGTCGCTGAGGCTTACAGTGAAACTATTTGTGACTATTTGTAGGACATTCCTTTGATGCCCACACAGGGAGAACAAGACAAGAAACGAGAGCAAGTATCGAACATTTTCACGACCTTACTGTATAAACAAACTTCTAGTATGAGTATTCTTACAAACAACAATGCAGAAAGTCATATTCATGTGCATATAACCCATCCTTCTGTATGAGACCCACTCGACTCATGTTTTCATAAAGCTCCACATGACCTCCTGCAGCATTCATGTCTATAATCTGAAATGTTCCCCGCGTCTCGTCTCAGGGAGAACTTCCAGCAGCTGCAGCAGAATCTGGCCGAGATGATCGTTTCCAGTCTGGAGCAGCGAGGAGAAGGGAGTGAGCGCTTCAAAAAGACCCTGTCCACGAGAGTCAGTCAGAGGGAGACCAACAGCGGCCTGCAGGGCGGCGACAGCCCCCCCGACTACTTCCACCTGGCTGTCACAGATAACCCCAGCACCTACCTGTGATCACAGCGGCGCTCTGAAAAGGAGTAGACGATGTAGGCGTGGCTCTGTTCTGTCCAATCAGAGCTGCTGGTCTGTGTGGACAGGTCACTTAATTCAGCGTCCTGTGACATCAGAGCAGCAGGGGACGGCTGCTGCAGCGCCACCCGTCTCTCTCTGCATCAGGACGTGAACATCAGACTGAACCACCCACAGACATGAAATATAAAATATGTGGTATAAATAAGCTCCTTCTCTTTTTTTCTTGTTGGACTGAAACGTTTTCACTGCGGCTGTTTTCTACGTGATGAACTGAGCTTTTTTATAACAAACATGAGAAATGACCACATTCAAAAAGCCACCACCTGGGGGCGCCAGAGTCAAATAAATCTACATTCCTGAAGTAAATAGATGGAAATTATTTAGATTTAACCATGTTTTGGCCTTTCAGATAATATTTTTCCATGTCATTAAATCATTTGTGTGAAGTGATGTTTTTTGCATTCAGTCAAATGTTTTTGCAGTTGACCTTCAGGGCCACTGTAGATTTACATCTTTAATTAGTTCTTAATTCTTTTACATCCAAACTGTATTCAGCAAACTCCTGCAAACTATCTAAAGTGCACAAATACTAAAATGTTGTCTCTCTCTGTCTCTGCCGCTTTTAGTTAAAAGTCTTTTTCCCTGTGGACAATAATAACTCACACACCGAGTGTACTCTCTCACCTTTGAAGAGGTCTCTGTTTTTATTTAAATCTTTCACACAGGAAGCTCGTCATTAAGAAACCTATTTATCGTGTAAATAGCTCCTTTCTGTTCTGCTGCAGAGACGGTGAGTCGTCATCCTGACAGGAGAACATTTGAGGTTTCTTTTTTTTTTTTAAGTTTTATTTTTGGGCTTCTCATGCCTTTAGTGGAGAGATAGGACAGTGGATAGAGTCGGAAATCAGGGAGAGAGAGAGAGTGGGGAATGACATGCAGGAAATGAGCCACAGGTGGGATGTGAGCCCGGGCTGCCTGCTTGAGACTACAGCCTCCATACATGGGGAGCACGCTCTAACCACTGCGCCACCAGCGCCCCACATGTGAGGTTTCTGTGATGATTTGATGTTTCAATAAAAAAAAGTTTGAAATAAAGAATCAGGTTCAGAGCAGTTTTAAACTTTTAATAACTTCACAGTAAAGAACAGGAAACTGAACACACTAGGAGACTCCACATCTCTGCTCCTTTGAAAAACAGTGCAGCGACCTCTTAAAAAGAAGACGGCTGCAAAAAAAAAATTCAAATATGATCTAAAATGTTCAGAAGTCTGAAGTGAACATGCATCCATGTTTTATTTTCACGCCTTCTCGAGTAAACTAAGACTGGCTACATGAGGTATGTCAACTGATTATGTGTCCAAACAATCCTCCAGTGTGTGGAGTCACCACAATGACAAGACTCTACCGCTCCTGATCCAGGCGTCTCTCACACGAGTCAACTTCCTGATACATGTCTGTGTTTACATCTGAGAGGAAACGAGCTTGTTCTCGCTAAACAGAGTTCAAGAAAACAACGGATAAAAGTCCGCTTCAGAACTTCTGTGAAAACCATCAAAATATGGTGGAGAATAAAGAGATCCAAAATGTGAATCAAA